AGGCAAAGGTAGAGGGGGGAGAGGGGAACGAAGGTTGCGGCGGACAGGTGCAGAATTAGAAGAGAGAAATGAAGAAGTGATCGGATGTGTGAAGCGGGTTTACAGAGAAGTAGTGCAGTTCCTTGAGAATATGAGATCAAGGACATTGCCAGCGTTATGAGTTGGTGGGGATGGAGACAGTGAGAAAGCAAAGGTGGTTAACAGAGATGTTAGTTCAGCTATCTTCCCTGTCTGGAGGTTGAAGTCTCCGAGAAGTACAGTGGGAGGGCCAGTTTCAGGGATGTGTGAGAGGAGATTATCTAACTCCTCCAAGAAATCCCCCAAGGCGCCTGGTGGACGGTAGAGAACAACAATGGTTAATTGTATAGGATGGGTTACTGTGACGGCATGGAATTCAAAGGTGGAAGGAGTAAAGCTAGGTAGCTTGAAGAGGGAAAAGCTCCAGTTGGGAGAGAGCAGGAGACCAGTGCCACCTCCTCTGCCAGAGGGTCTGGGTGTATGGGAGAAGGAATATGCTGTGGAGAGAGCTGCTGGGGTGGATGTGTTGGATGGAGTAATCCAGGTCTCTGTGAGAGCAAGGAAATCCAGAGACTGCAGGGAAGCGTAGCTAGAGATGAAGTCAGCCTTAGGAACAGCTGACTGGCAGTTCCACAGGCCCCCTGAAACGAGATGTTGGATCTCAGTGGAGCATGTGGGATAGACAAGAGCAGGCCGGTTAAATCGATTAGGAGATACACGGGGCCAGTGATAATTGCGAGAGGACGCATGAACAGGAATGGAGAAAATACCCATGATTTTAGCATGAGGGGCTAGAGAACCAAAGAGAATTGAATAAAACAAAAGGAAACACCAGCGATACTTAGCTCAATCAAAGTAGGATTTGCCTCCTCTTTGCCTCCCTCGTGACTCCAATGTCTTTGTCAGTCTTGCTCCAACAGCACTCCAATGTCTTTGTCAGTCTCCGTCTGGCTGACGCTCCACGAAAGAGCCACCTAAGATGGACACCTGATTGCTGAGTTCTCACAGCTGTGGGGGCACGCCCCTCTAATTAGTTAACTCTCTTCAGCTGGTGGGCGATCAGCAGAGTGTTCCTGCCTATTGTAATGCAGGGTTGAGGCGCGTGACCCACTGAGACCTTTCTTACAGGTTGAGTTGAGCAGATCTGAGATTTAAAATCTCTCAGAAATCGCCGTTTTAGCTACAATAACTACAGAACAATTATACAGAGTAGAATAAATGAAACAGGCCACCCAAATAGGTTAAGGGGCCTTTGGCTTTTCTTGCCCCACAAATAGAATCAAATTCTGTGGGAAACACTGCAGTCATATTAGATCATGGCGCTTTGTGGAGAAAAATAGGTAGACAAGAGATATACATCTTAATAGTGTTTAATCTTATCCAGAGATTGGCTTTTTTTAAAGGAATCTGTTCAAAAAAGCAACTTCAGCCCGTAGATGGAAAAACACAAAAAAATGAATTTGTTTAGCCTGTCACTCGGCCGTTTGCTTATCTTGTTGGTCCTTCACACCCAATACTGGCATCCAAGTTTCTGAAAGGGACATTATTGTAACATGTGTTGACTGTTAACAGTGATTGGAAAACATTGTGACAAAGCAAAGTAATACTCTCTAATCATTTATCCCTTTACACTCTGACAGTGTGAGTGATTGATCTGATGGGGCTCATTGTCAAAATCCTGATGAGATTCATTTAATTAAAAATGCCTTTCAGTGCCCATCAAAATCTAATCACATTTCACGTTTCATTCCTATTGGCTACTGTTTGTAAAGATGCTGTAATTTGTTTCAGATAGTTGTAATTGTTTTGTGCTAACGCTTTACGATTTAACCTTTGTAGGTTCCTTGCCTAGTTCTGATGGCTAGTTAATAAAGTAATATGCTATGTGCTAGAGGGAAACTACCCAATATGTGTCTATAGGTTTAGTTTTGGAATCAAATTTCCTCCATTGTGATGAAAGTTAAAATCCTTTGAGCCGTTATAATGACAACATATCTCAAAACAATTTAGGTTTACCTGAAAGGTGACCTAACACCCTAAAACAATAGAAACCCTGTCAGAATTAAGACTTAGACTTAAAATAATTAGAAATTCTCTCAAAATTACTTTGTATTTCTGGATAATGAATAATTTATCTGGAAATGTTTGACTTATTATCTCAAAATAGTGACTTAGTAGTCATTATTTTGACAAAGTTTCTCATTATTTCATTATCCTTTTCTCTCGTTTACTGGCAGAAATGGGCTTCCGTATTTTACAGTTATTCCTGGCTATAATGATATAAAGTAGTTTCTCTAAATCGAATAAAAAACCCAAATTGTCATAATTCAATACAAATTGTGGCGCTTGTGAGAAGTTTATTAAGGACAGTCATCCCTAATGTGTGGTTCCACAAAATGCATTTCCTAATGTCTTTTAGAGCAGCTCTTTAGAAATATTAATGGAAGTTCAGTGAGAGAAATCAGTGTGTGTTTTCAGGATATATTTGTATGTGGTGATTGTATCTGCAGTCAGACTGCTGTACAGATTCCTTTCCTCAGAGGATGTAATTTCATCCGTTCCTTCTGGGACTCTGGCCAAACACTCCCTCCTGGTACAGAACAATCCTGAAATATATCAGCACGAGACTGGTAAATAACTATCATGTTGCAAGCTCCTGCATTCATTTGAAAATGGTGTACTAAACAATTGTTAGTTTTATATTATAATAATGTTACCAGGAACACATAAGTGTATTAAAAGGGTATAAATAAAACGAATCAAAAAAACTTGACACAGTAATTCCTGCCTGTGTAAGACTCTAAACTGCTGTCACGGTGTGCACAGTATTTTAGGGCCCAGGTTTTACAGTAAGCGAGGAGGGGGAGGAGGAATGTGATAATAATATTTATTGGTTTATTGTAGAGCTGACGCTAGAAGATAGATAACAATTGTGTTTTTTCCCTGAAGCAGTTTTTATGATTTATTTCCGGCCAAAAAAATAAGTGCTGACTTAGGAAGTTGTATCTGTGTCAGCTTAGAGACCAATTTATATATCTTTTTATATTGTTCATTCATGGTTCTATATTATACATGTTATATTCACAGTAGGCCAGCTTACTCCCCAGGGATCAGGACCTTGTGTCATGTGGGTCCTCAGTGATGGCATTGCATTATTCTTTTCTCGTATAGCTTTATAAATATATGGATTTAACTGTGACGGTGATCAGGACAAAGACCACCTTTCTTGCCACCATACAAAGTTGTTGTTTTAAGAAAAAATATTTTTACTAAATCATTATAATGATTTACAGGAACTTTATCTCTTCACAAGGCTATGTTTTTATTTTATTTGTTTCTTTTACTGGCAGAAATGAGCTTCCGTTTATAAACTATTCCTGGCTATAATTGTATTAACGAATAGTTTCTCTACATTTGGAAATAACAGTAATGTAATTAAACAATACAATAACTGGAGATTTCCTGTTTTTGGACCTGCTTTTTGGTCAGTTGTTAGATTTCTACACCAAACTTTTAATATGGCTTTTAAGAGTCTTCAGAAAATATAACCTTGCTTGCATTATTGCTACTCTTAAATGTGTTCACTTGGTGACTCAGGTGGTATCCATGACCACATGGACCAGCTGGACCAGATCAATGGACGTGGCTAATGAGGTGTTTATAACATCGGGTTAATTTTCAACCTCGAACATATGTTGAAACTGCAAATGAAACGTGGCTGTTAGCACACATTAGCATAACAAGTAGCAGCTATTAGAAATGCATGTTATAATGATCTGACTGACTGTAAATCTTGAGTTAAATGACTTGCATCACGGAACGTTTTATTTAGATTGAGATAAAAAAAAATGACCATTAATGTGTGTTTTCTTTTTGTTTTTTAACAGGCTTCTATGCAAATCTATGAGAGCAAGGGAGCTGAGGTTTACACTAACGGCAGTGCAGGACACATGAATGGCACAGAACTGACCAGGATGAAAGAAGTGGAATTTGAAAAGGGTCATTCAGAGCCCATGGTATACTATCCCCACACACACACACACACACACACACACACACACACACACACACACACACACACACACACACACACACACACACACACACACACACACACACACACACACACTCTTATATTTTAATATTTGTGTTGCTAATGCCTGCCCATTGACTGTGGTCTCTGTCTGCAGGGGGTCACTCTGAAGCTGAACGACAAACAAAGGTGCACTGTGGCCAGAATACTGCACGGAGGCATGATCCACAGACAAGGTAATTAATCCCATTTTCTTTTGAGTGCAAGTGTGTGAGTGTGCCGACCTGGTGTGTGTGTTGGAAGGAAAGTTCTCTAGTTAATAGTCCGTCCCAGTCACAGCAAATCTATCCAGGCATTAGTGGATAGTGCACCCGAGGGGAAAAGAGTGAAAGAGAACGGAGACATTTTGTGACTGCTGCTTTGTATATTTATGTATTTGTGGGTACTGAATTATTAATCTGTCGGTTTTATTTACCATCTTTCCATCTATCTCTCTACATCTTTACGTAGGTTGTACAACAAGATATCTATTTTATGTAATATTACTTATCTTTAAGTATCTTATTTTTATCAAGTGTTCAAACATGGCATTCTATGTATTATATCCAAATAAATTGTATTATTATTTTTTCAATTTAATTTCTGTATAGTGAAGTAGGGCAACAGATAATGTATACTGTATCTCAGGCCATACACAAAATATTCAAGTTTAAATATTTGAATTGTAAATGACATTATTGAGATTATACTGTTAAGTTTGGGGTTTTTGAACTTCTCTTAAAATTGTGTTAACTGCAAACCCTATTTTAAGCATTTAACCAAAAATAAAAACATTCTAAAACCATAGACTTTTGAGACAAGGGGAGCAGACAAGTGCAAATAAATGCTGCCAAAATGTCAAGTTTAGGACTTATATTTAGAATTACTATAGCTCTCCTGTTTTTCTCTCTCTCTTACCAGGCTCTTTGCACGAAGGAGATGAAATAGCAGAGATCAACGGGAAAAGTGTGATGAACCAAACTGTAGATCAGCTCCAAAAGATCCTGGTAAGTTAATATTTGTTAACTTGGATCTTAAATTCAATGCAAATCTTTATGAAAGTATTACACTCGTACAACTAGATATATAAGTAAAACTGAATCATCTGTCCATGCAGAAAGAAACAAACGGAGTAGTCACTATGAAGATCGTTCCCAACGTGCAGAGTCGATCCCGAGCCTGTGAGGTAATGACATGCCCGGCAGAATATGCACTTGTGAAGAATTTTTTGTATTTTGCTTTTCTCCAAAATCGTTTAAATTTGCATGAATGAACCAAGAAAAATTAGCTCAACATCCAATGATAACTAGCGGTACAGTATAATCCACGTAGATGGCATTTGATTACATTTCTTTCAGTTTTTCGATCTACAAATCACTCTTTAAAAAGGATTTTGTTCTCTGTGAATCAGGTGACCCTACTGTTAGTCAATGAACAACCCAGGTGACTATACAATGAGTTTAAAGTCACTCGCATTAGTTTTGCTAGTTTCAACTGAACCACTTTGGTAGTGTATTTCATCCTGCCATCTACTGACCATATCACAATTTCCCCACCCGCCGATAATGTGCTTTTTGTGCATTAAGAATGGCAGCTTGCTTATTTTAACAACATTTAACAATAGTCTATGGCAATTTGGAATAATAAAAAATGGCTTCAATTGAATTGCCACGAAGAAAAAATTAATACCGAATTCTAAGTTAGGACTTTGCTGTGGTCACTGATGGCAGTCCACCCAAAAGCTTCTAGTCCATTAATATATAGGCGTAGAGCATCATTTTTGGTGACCCAGACCACTCCAGGATACCCACTTTGGTTACAAAAAATAGTTGTACTTATTCGTCTGTGTACAGCTACAACTTGGAGTAACTTGGCGAGACCACAAATGTTTCTTAACTCTACTAACAATAGTATTACTTTACCCTGAAGAGAATTGACATGTGTTCCTGCTGTGATCTTTGACAGTTTAGGCAACAATAGTAGAGATAGTATTCTAATCTGGGGCATTAACAAGCTTTACGCAAATGCTCAATTGGAGGTAAATAAATTTATTTTCAGTTTACTCTGTTATGTTTTTTTTGGTTTAGTGAATTAAGCTGTCAAATATCACATCATGAGCATTTGAATTCTGTGTGAGGGTGGATTTCCCTATTAACATTTTCAAGTCCCTAAATAATTGTTTATTCTTGAGAATTGAGACACATATTCAGGTACTATAAGTCCAATATTTGCTGATTCAAACATCATAATGATAAGCTCTCAATAAAACAATATAGGTGGATTTTGTAAACTGTTACAACGTCTGATGCAACGTTAAATGGAGAGTTTCACATGAGAGCAATCACAGTATAGCTGATGTTGATATTTTGAATATATACTCCACAATGCTTTATGGCTTAAACATTGAAGAAGAACAAAATATTTAATTTCAAGCTTCGCGAGAGCTTACTTTAAAGCCAGAGTGGTGTAAATAATGACCGTCCATCATGAGTGAGTATTTGCTTGACTGAGCAAAGTATGTTCTCTGTGTATTGCTGAACTGCAAAATATCTGCTTCTTGTGCAACAAATATGCAAAGAAAGTGCTCGGTAAGCATCTGGCACAGCAGTGAGTCATCTGTGATAAATATAAAAGATTTAATGAAATGTGGACAAAGGGTTTTAATAGAGCTCAGACAAACTATATTTTTTGTGTTTCAGAATCAAATGGTTCACTGAAACGTACTTAAAAAAGTCTTTGTTCAGCAGCAATAAGTACACAGATGCCGGAGAAATTCTTCCTTTGTTGATGGGATAATGTAATGGCTGTAGAATAATGACACCAAACCTTTAAAGGGGCCCTATTATGTTTTTGGGAGTTTTCCCTTTCTTAAGTGTAGAGTGTCTTATAGGTGCATGTAAATGGTCTGCAAAGGCTAAAATCCCAAAGTTATTTCCAGAGGGAGTTTCTTTCCCACCCCCACCCTCCCCCATGCCTGAAACGCAGTGGCGGCCGGCCCATAGGGGCGCTAGGGGCGCCGCCCAACCTCTTCCCACATACAAAAAAAAATATTAAAAAAAATATTAAATTAAAAAGTACAGGTCCATGGCTAGACCCGCCTGCGCGGAGTGTGCTTTACTCGGTGGGAGATCCGTACCGTGTTAGAACTAACGGAGCACACGGGAATAGGAGTTTTCTTGTCCGCCGACAAATACACAACCTTTGCACATGTAGGTCTTTACAGGACTGGTAAAAAGACGTCACTTCATGTACCCGCGCGCACAGGACGATAGTGGGACCTCACTACTACTAGATGTTATGACCTGTCAAAAACAAAATGGAAGTAGTAGATTTTTTTCCCTACTATTCGGATATACTCTGAAGTTTCCAGAAAATAAAACTTTGACATGTAGTTCGTTACAGGACTGAAAAAAGACTCACTGATCTACCCTAACAGGACGATAGTGGGACTTCACTTTACTCAGAAACTATGACCTGGTCAAAAACAAAATAAGAGTAGATTTGTGTCGTCCCCTCGCTAAAAAAAAACTGAGATGGCATTACTGTATCCGTCATAGAAGCGCGTGGTCGTTTATAGTGCTACTCCGACCGAAACTGATCTAAAAAAGCGCTCACTTCCGTACCGAACGGCGTCAGTTTGATATACTGGAGTGAGCGCAGTTTCCCCCGATGTTGATGTTGTCTACTTTGTATAACGGCACTAAATTTAGACATTATGTGCAAAGTTTTAGTACGGCCTTCATGTGTGTTATGACCTATTGGCCTATCTATTTGACTCAATGTCGTAAACTGTTGCAGACGTGCTGTGCTGGTCCGTGACGCTTTTTGGAAGATTTTACCCGCACAAAAGATTACCTCTTAAACCGATTCGATTGCAACTTTACGGAGGCTGGCAGGTGTGAGTGTTGTTGCCGGATATGTCTGTATTTTATTTGGTCGCTGACATAAGCGGTACTGTGTCTGGTCATACAACCAAAACATGAACAAATTGAATACAGTCAAAGGACTGTCCTATACTTCGTCGACACTCGAGACTCACCGATTATCATTGCCGACCACAACAAAAAGGAACCCTCGAGTAACTTCTACTTCACTGCCCAGGCGGATGGTGACGCAATGATACTCTATATGGGGCTCAAGGAGTGCTCAGATTTTTTTGTTGAGTGCAGTTGGGCGTGCATTCGTTTGCACCCGCGGCTCACTCGCGGGAGCACTGGGTTTTTATAAACTGCCGGCGCGACTAACCGACTTTAATACAAAGGCCGGCCGTGTCAAATGATAACTCTGGAAAACGGTTGCACGACCCAACTACGGACAAACCGAAGCCCCCGTCGCGTTAAAAAATGAAATTGTAGCATTTGTGTTAAAAATTTGGTCTAAAACTAACATCTAATATGGTAAATGACTATGGTTGAACATATCTATAAATGGAACCAAGTAATTTTTAATTTTATATTTTTTTATTTATAAAAAACTTTATATATAATAAA